GAGATGGCTCAGTGGTTAAAAGCACTGACTGCTCTTGCAGAGGACCCAGGTTGGATTTCCAGCACCAACATGGCAGCTACAAACGGTCCGTAACTCCAGTTCCAGGGGAATCCGAAGCCCTCTTCTGACCTCCGCGGCATTGCACGACACAGGTGTACTCACATACATGCAGACAATACACTCATACATATTAAAATAAAAATAATAAATAAAATATTTTTTAAAAAATGTACTGAGAGATGGCTCAGCAGTTAAGAACACTGGTTGTTCTTGCAGAAGACCCAGGTTCAAATCCCAACACCCACATGGCAGCTAACAACTGTCTGTGACTCCAATTCCAGGGGATCCAACAGCCTCTTCTGTCCTCTGCAGGCATTGCCCTTACGTACACATAGGCACTACAAATAAATAAATAAATAAATAAATAGTACTGTGTTGAACCAGGGAGATGGCTAGGCAGCTAAAAGTGATTACCACACAAACCTTTCCCCCTGCGTTCTGTTCCTAGAACCCATGTAAAAAGCAGGACACAGTGGCATGCATCTGTAACCCCAGCACTCCTGCAGCGAGATTCCACAGCTGTAATTTCACAGGGCAGTAAGCCTGAAGTAGGCTGACAAGGTGGAAGGTCAAAGCTGACCCCAAAAGTTGTCCTTGACCTCCACACATGTACCATGGCATACCTGCATTCACAGACACAGACACAGACACAGACACGGACACACACACACACACACACACACACACAGACACACAGAAACACACAAACATAAATGAGTACGTCTTTAAAATGTTTTTGTTTGTGGGTTTTGTTTTTAACTTAGGTTCTCTAGGATTAATACAGTATTTAAAGCATTTTCCCATTATTATGATAGTCATAATACTTTAGATTCTTACATAAATTCTCTTTTACTTATACTTTCAATAACCTGATGGTCTCCAGTTCCCTTGTTTGGCTGTGCACATGACTATGGCTTTATCACATAACTTACCTAATGCAGCAAGTCTTCATACCGCCCATTCTCCTTTGAGACAATCTTTTCTCCTTAAGATTTTTGTTATTTTTAATTATGTGTCTGTGTATGGGTATGTGCACACTGAGTGCAGTTGCCCATGGAGGCTGGAAGAGGGCATCAGATCCCAGAGCTGGAGTTATGGGCAGTTCTGAGCCACCCAAGGTGGGTAGTGGGAACTGAACTCAGGTTGTCTATAAAAGCAGTAAGTGCTCTTAACCACTGACCCATCTCTCCAACCTCTGGACCGTTTTTTGATTCTCTTATTTACTTTTTCATTTGAATTTCGGAGACATCTGTGCAAATTCTTTAAGTATTCCACCAACTGTACTAAATATGGGGATGAGCTGGGAAGGGTTACCACTTTCTCTGTTATCCTCCCTATCGGAGTGTGCCATTTCTCCGTTTAAACTCTTTATTTCCCACAGAAAAGTTAGCGTTTTCTTCATATATGATGTCTGTAGACTTATCAAGGGAAAATGTAAGTTGTCACAAATACATTTTTTAATATGCAAACTTATTCTGTGTGGTAGCATTTCCAAAGAAACTTCTGGCTAGCACACAGACTGGTTAAATTATGACACTCTCCTGCAGGCCTATCACAGCACTTTGCTCAGACCCATACCCTCACTTGTCTCACCTCTTTCCATTCCCATCCTTCCCCTAAAGGGTCTGGTAGAATTTCATTTAAGATTTCATCATTCAGGGCTGGGCGTGGTGGTGCATCCTGTAGTCCCAGCACTCGGGAGGCAGAGGCAGGTGGATCTCTGTGAGTTCTAGGCCAGCCTGGTCTACATAGTGACCTCTAGGTCAGCTGAAGCTACAGGGATACCCTGTCTCAAAAAGACCAAAATAAATATAGATAAATAAATAAATAAAATAAAGACTTCATCATTCATAATAACTGGGAAGACTGACTGCATTTCTTTTCACATCTTTGACATATTTTAAAATTAAGACCCTATCCACATCACACAGCAAACCAGACAGCAAGCTTCTTTTAGAACTACATTTATGGTCAATAGTTATAGCATTTTCAAAAATATATTTTTAATTGAATTTTTGTGAATTTCATACAATATAACTTAATCATATTTAGTCTCCCCTTCCCTATCTGCACCCTCCCCATAGACCACCCACAGGACTTTATGCATTTTGTCAGATATGTTAAGGCTTATCAAGTCAAATTTGTGTACCTAGTTTGTGTCCCTCAGCAAAGCTACTTCATCTAACAGGGGACAATGAATATACAGGATTTTTTTTTGGTCTTTTTGAGATAGGGTCTTCCTGTAGTCCCTGCTACAGGAACTCACTATGTAGACCAGGCTGGCCTTGAACTCACAGAGATCCGCCTGCCTCTGCCTCCCAAGCGCTGGGACTACAGGATGCACTACCAAGCCCTGCTGGTTTATTTTTTAATGTGGAAAATATTAGGTGGAAATTTTTCTTCTAACCTTCCTGATTCCTTATTCAGTTGGTATATATGTCTTGAGTCAATTTCATATTATATTTCTGAAGAAAATTGAAAAATTTAAGGTGGGTGCTGAGGCTTCACATATATTTTAAGCACTTGCTCTACAACTGTGCTTGTCCCCAGCTTGGAAATCAATTTTTTATGGGTTTTATGTTGTTTATGTTTCTTTTTTGAGATAGGGTCTCATTATATAGTTTATGCTGGGTATAATCTCCCTAGAAAACCCCTCAAACTCACAATTTTCTTGCCTCAGCCCTCCTGAGTGCTGGCAATATAGGTGCCGGCATCACGGAATCTAAAATTAGCTCCTCACACTTGCATAGCAGCACCTTACCCAGTGAGCCATCTTCCAGACCCTGGACCATAATTTTTAAAAATTTCAGTTGACATAATTATCTTCATCTCTAATTTTGTTAAGTTCTATTGTTATCTTAAATTCACCAACTGTTGGGACTGGAGAGATGGCTCAGTGGTTGAGTACTGGCTGCTCTTTCAGAGGATCTGGGTTCAATTCCCAACACCTACGTGGCAAATAACAACCGTCTGTAACCTGTCAATTGTGAGGTTTTTAAGTTAAAAAAATCTTGACTCATTTCAATCCTCTTCTTTCTAAGTAACTTTTCACTGCTTTCCAAAACTTTGATATCTCTACTCAAAAGTTTTATATTTCCCCTTTCCTCCCTGATTAATAATTCTGGGAAGCACAGCTTCTGAAGCTAGAGGGGATGAACTTACAGTTGTACAGAACTAGGTGACTCAGAGTCAGCACATCCCTGATCTTACATGAGCATTTACCAAATCCTCTCTACTAGATTGTTGAAGATCAAATGAAATGTATGTGAGACACAAACAAGTCCTTAGTCAGCAGTAGCTGCAACTTGTATTATTACTTTACTATTATAAACACATATTAAAATGTTTATAATTGCCAGGCATGGTGGCACGCCTTTGATCCCAGCACTCCAGAGGCAGAGGAAGATGTATCTCTGCATTAGAAACCAACCTGGTCTACATAGTAAGTCCATAGTAAGTTCCAGGACTACATTGTCCTTTTTTTTTAATCCATAATAATTGCATTGGCCTGGCCTAGAGATTTTGCTATGAAATGCTTAGGCTTGGCTGTGTCCTTCTTATGCTTTTTTCTGTTATGCAGAGCAATGAGATGGTTTGATGGACAGTCTCTGTTCTTTGTATCTGTTCTCATGTGACCTAACACATGATCAATATTACTGTGAAACATGTGCAGATGTCTTTGAAGTTGTCTACGTTTCCTATTTAATTTGTGTGAGACATGATCTTCCTATGTAGTCCAGGCTGTCTTCCAAGTCATGAGCCTCCTGCCTCACCTTCTAAGTGCTGGGATTACAGATGTGTGCCACCAGGTCTGGCTTGTTTTTTATACTAATGTACAGCAGAAGTGCTTCAGTACATTATTAAAATATACAAAGCTCAACTAATTTTTTTCAAGTACAACAAAAATAAAAAACTATCCCTTCTCTGGAGATGGAACAATGGCTCTCGGTGGTAGCAGAGTCTTGTTTTACATGGTGAGACTGACCTGACCTTAAAAAGCCCTGAAGTCTAGAGCAGGAGTGGAGAAAATCTTTGTTTTACAGGCAGGCAGATTCTTAGATAAAGGCCCTTCCCCTCAACCTGTCTTTCCTACTGTTCCCAAGGCTTGTTCTTGGGGATGATCCAGCTGTCTCCTTCTTTCCTCCTCTGGTCCAGCAGGCGTGTTATGCATTAAGCAGGAGAGGAAAATAAAACATGATATATCAATTTTGTTTGTTGTCAAGAACTGGTTTTTAAAAAGAAAAGCAGGGGAAAGAACAAGGAGACACTGGACACTTGTAAACATTCCACCTTGACTATAGTCCACCTGATGTTTCCTTACCTGTAAATCTGAAGCTAACATGACAAGGGCTTTAGATCTGAGAACATTAAAAAGCACATCCAACAAGCCCCAGAGCAAACACAACTGAATTATGTACAATACATACTCGGTAACAGTATTCAGATTTCCAGTAGACAGTAAGATTTGCTCCCAGGAGTTCATTGTGAATGAGCAGCAAAGCCTGGTCCATCTTCAGCTCCATGTGCTTTTTTTCATCTAAATCGACAAGAATTAGAAAAGTTACAAAATAAAACAACCAGGCATCTGAAAAGTATACTAGAGGCACAAATACCCACACTCTAGGGCTTGTGGGGGTCTTCAAAACAATGCCCCCTGTGTATAAATTTGTGTGCAAGGACGCATATGTGCCCTTTTGCTCAGAGGGCTCCACTACAAATAAGGACTCCATTAACACAATTCACATCCAGTGTTACAACAACTGTGTAAGGAACTAACATTCAACAACACTGAATTCAGCAGTCTGCATGTATTTGTTACTCTCTGTTGCTGGGATAAAACACCATGACCAAGGCAACCTATAGGAAGACGAGTATATTGGGCTTATGGTTCCAGATGGATGATTCCATCATGGCAAGGGAGGCCTGGAGCAGAACGCTGAGCGCACATCTTCAAGCAGGCACAGGAAGAAGAGGAGGCAAGCTACAGGTGGAATGAGGCTATGAGCTCTCAAGAGCCCATCCCCACTGCATGCTTCCTCCAGCAGGACCCCACCTCCTAAACCTCCATAAACAGACCCACCAACTGGGGCCAAGTATCCAAACACTTGAGTCTATGGGACATTCTAAATCAAACCACCACACCACATAATAAGGACAACCCCATAAACTAGGTATTTTCTCCATTTTTGCCAAAGAGTGGAACTCACGAGTTTTTTTGCCTATGCCCATAGTCACAGTTATTGAATGAAATCACTGATCTGGACCAAAGTCCCATGACTCCCATATCCAGACTTTCCTTTATCATGCTATGTTTGTGAGTTCAGCCCCAGCAGCTTGTTAGAAATGCAAACTGCAGCTTCCTCTTCAATGAGGTGGCCAAACAGGAGACACCAAGATGCAGACCTTTATGAAAACCCTGCCAGGCAAGATCATCATGTCTGAGGTTGAGCCCAATGACACAGTAAAAATACCAAGGCTAGGGTAAAGACACAGAAGGCACCTGGCCCAACCACCAGAGTCTGATATTTGCCAACGAACAGTTGGAGCATGGCCACACTGTGTTGGATTACATCTAGAAACAGTCCATGCTACACCTGGGGCTGCATCGATGTGGAGGCATCATCAAGCCCTCTCTGCTGTTCCTAGCTCAGAAGCTGAACTGTGACAAGATGATCTACCCCAAGCACAATGTCCACCTGCACTCACCAGATGCGAACTGCTCCAAGACGTGCAGCCACGCCAGCAACTTCTGCCCCAAGAAAACCAAGGTAAGTCAAGGGCTGCCTGCCAAACCTATAGTCTAGGAACCTAATAATGTAATAGAGTGCTCCTTACACTGACTGGAGGAGTCAAAGAAGAAATGCAGACTGAAGCCCTTCCAGGACTCCTGGGCCACTACACCTCTTTGAAGTTTGAGACCTCCTGCTTCCCATCACTCTGAATCTCCCTCTAGTTTCTATGGCAGATTTGAAAGGGGAAAGAAATGAGTGAGAGTCTGAAGGGCAGAAAGATCCCTGCACTGGCATTCAGTCAAGAGGGACAGGTCACAGTTTACTAGATGATATTATTAGGGTGCACAGAGATGGCACTCATTTAGGGACTGGGGTATAGCTCATGTTACAACACTTGCCTGTTGCTGTATAGGACTGTCCTCTGACAGACACCATCTTCCCAAGCTTGGTTGTACCTCTTGCCCAAGATCACCACAGCTGAGTTGTTCACAACCCAGAAAGGGAGGGGCAGGGAGGGTCATGGGACCTTCACCTGAGAGTCCAGCCACATCTCCTAACCAACCAGTCAGCTCTATTTGAACATGGTGTGTGGGGAGAAGCTAAGCGTATATAAGCTAGGGAAGCCTAGGGAAGGTCTCTCGACATTTTATGCAGTTGTGGGGAAGCCACCATCCATGCTTGGATGGAGACTTTCCAGTATGGACTTAGTGGGGGAGCACCCACACACTCCTGGAAGTAAACCCCCACCTATTGCTCTGTAAGTAAGCCCAATACACTCACTAGCTCCCCAATTTGGTGAAATCATACCTTGGTTTGTTGTTGGGACCAAGGGAGGAGGGGAGGATGTGTTTACACCCCCTCAGAAGGAATTTTAGCTACACCTATCATTCATGAGGCTCCAGGTTCAAATCCCAATAACTAACACACATGAATGCATATTTGCACGTGCACACACGCGTGTATGCACACACACGCGTGCATGCACACACACACATACACACACACACAGATGAAACATGCCCTGAAATCATGTCTTGTCAGATTGGTAAAACAAAGTGAACTATTATCTAAAGTTAAAGCAAAATGTTTCACTTAAACTGGCCTATTCTATAGCAATATAACATTAAAGAAAAATCTATTTATCTTCTAGTTCCCAGGCAAAATAAATTTTAAAAAAGGAAACTAATAACACAACCAATGGACATGAATTTGATTTATTTTGTGATGTGAAAGCCTCCTTCAGGCCTCTCCAATGACTCATCAGTAAGGTTAGTTGAGGGATTCTTCACTTAGCCAACCTAAATCCCTCTTTTTAAAACTCTAAGTTAAAAAAATTTGTGTGTGTGTGTTTTGCCTGCATAGATGCAAGTGCACTACATGCAGTGCCCACAGAGGTCAGAAGAGGGTGTCGGATCCCCTGGAATGGACGTAAGGACAATTGTTAGCTGCTATGTGGGTGCTGGGACTCAAACCTGGGTCTTCTGCAAGAGTAGCCAGTGCTCTTAATCACTGAGTCATCTCTCCAGTCCCCCTCATTTTTAAAATCTTAATTTACCCTTATTTGTTAGTAAGACAAAATGCATATCTAACTCTCAGTGACCCACTGGTGCTTTTTCTTTTCACCATGTTTTCTGCTCCTTGGTATCCTCTGCAAAGTTTTCGGTGGAAACTATGCCCAAGACCATGGACAGAATACAAGGGGTCAGATACTTATGTTCCACTAGAGCAACTGGGATCTGCATCCCACCTGGCCTCAACGGTAAACCAGAGGCCAGAAGAGTGTGTACGTCACAGGACTGTGCGGGAGTGTAAGTCGATAAAATGTACAGAGCTTGGTCCAGAGCTTGAAACAAAATCAGAATTCAATAAATGATCACTATAGCCAACTAAGGTCAGGGACAACTGGAGCTTCTTCAGACTCATATGAAATGTTAACAGTGGTTTCTTCTTTTTCCAATTACCTTTATTTCCAGTATCTATTTCCTGTTTATAAGTACACACATCTGAAATCAGCATGTTTTTATAATATTTTTATTTATTTTGTGTACATGTATGTATGTATGTGGGCACATGTGGTGGTCAGAGGACAACTGGTAGAAGTCTGTTCTCTCCTTCCACCATGCTGGTCCCAGGGATGACTCAGGTCATGATTGTATTAGTTACTTTTCTGTTGCTGTGATGAAATACCATGACCAAAAGCAACTTATAGAAGACTTTATTTTTGGCTTATGGTTCCAGGGGAGAGTCCATAATGGCATGGCAACAGGGGCCAGAGCAGGAAGCTGGCTGATTACATTTTTCATCCACATCCAAGAAGCAGGTAAAGAGCAGGCAAGGTTGTAAACCCTTAAAGCCCACCCCGCAATGTCCTGCTTCCAGTGAGCTCCATCTATCAAGCTTCCATAACCTCCCAAAACATTGCCGCCAATTGGCGACTAAGTGCTCAAATACATGAGCCTATGGCAGACATTCCCCATTCAAACCAATCAGGCATGTCTTTGCCCACTTAACCATCTGGCCTGCCTAGTATGTTCTTTTGATAAATTTCCTAAAGAATGAAATTCCATAAGTGAAGTTTTTCAACAAAAATAGTCTTTCAACTATTTTAACAGCTTTCGAGAAGCACTGTGAGATTCCTGTCCAATTTGGTAGTCCTGGCTCTTGTGGCAACTAGAGCTGATAATAACAACACTCAACTGTGTGCCATACCCTTGACAGCCCTATAAAATCGCTCTTGGTATTTTTTTAAGTTGGGGGAGCCTCTGCATTGTAGTGGCTGGCCTAACTCCTGGGCTCAAGGGATCCTTCCATCTCAGTCTCCCAAGGAGTTGGGGCTCTGGGCAGGTACCACCTTGAAATCAACCAACTTGCCTAAGACCACAGCCTGCTGGCCAGAGGGTTTAAGCTGAGGTCAGTGAGGCAGAGCAGCTACCCTCTATGGAAGCATATCTGCTCTCTGGTAGCTAACTCATGATCAACCTCTGGATTTTTCTCCTCACTTTTCAGTCTGAAAGTATCAATATCCTGACCAGACTTCAAACCAAGAAATCAGAATCTGCCCAATCAGCATAACTTTAAAAATATCTCCCCTAAGGAAAAGAAATCTCTCAAAGTTCTGACCTTTTTTTTTTTGCATTATTTGAATGTATTTTCCAAGTCTAGGGTGTGTGTGTGTGTGTGTGTGTGTGTGTGTGTGTGTGTGTATGTGTGTGTGTTAGACACCAAAATCCCCATGACAGCCAATGACTACCCCAAACAATGAGCAAAGGGTATGCAAACTTACTTGGCTGATTCCCCATCCTGGACCCCAAACACCCTCCTGGCAGAGGTTTTGAAAGCTCTACTCTGGAGCCCGGAGACCTTCGAACCCGGGTGGAGGATGGGTCTCGCTGGGCTGAGTCTCCCGCACAACCCTGGCCTGGAGCCGCTGCACCCCGGAGTGCCAGGGCCCCGCTCCTGCTCCCTCAAACCCCCGGGGCTCTCGGGCGAGAGCTGGGGCCGCGACCCTCCGTCCCCAACCGCGGGGCCAGTGGGCCTCGGCTCCGCCCGTGTGCAGCCGAGACGAGGACAGGCCGAAACAGGCCGAGACAGCCGGGACAGGCCGAAACAGGCCGAGACAGCCGGGACAGGCCGAGAGCGGACGGGACACTCCGTGGACATCTCGCCCCCCGCAGGCCCGACCGTCCCCAGGGCGCAGAGCGGTGGGCACGCGCTCACCTGGCTCCGCAGGGCGGCCCGGGGCCAGCAGCGCGGCGCTCAGCACCGACCCCGCCAGCAGCAGGGCGGCCAGCGCCCGGCCCGCGTCCATGCCTCCCGCCGCCGGGGGCCCCGGCTCACGACCAGGCGACACCTTCTTCGCCACGACTGGGAGCACCGAGCCTCCGCCCACGGCCTGCGCGTGCCCGTCGCCCCGCGCGCGTCATCGCCCCGCGCGCCATCACCGCCCTCCAATGTCGTCACCGCGGAGTCTGGGCAGGGGGGCGCTGGCCCGGCTCCCGCACCCTCTGCTGTCCTGAGCCACCACTCAGATCCCTGCGTCCGGGCCTCCAGGAGCCCTGCCTGGGCAGAGGAGACTGCCGAGCCCCGCCAAGGTGTCCACGACCAGATCGAAGAAGGCACAGCAGCAGCCCGCGCTGCCGCCGCCTGGAGCCTGCTGCCAACCTGCTTGAGCGACCCAGGCGAGAGGCCTCGAGACCCACTGCGGGCCGTGTTCTAGAGAAACGACCGCACGTATAAGACAATCGCAGAGACATTTGCGGCAAGGTCGTTTGTAGCTGCGGTTGCGTAAGCAATCTGTCCATCAGTGGTTCGACAGACACTTGTGGAACAGCCTGCAGCAGAGGAAATGCTCAGACCGTCACGTAAAAGGATGAAGGGTGAAGCAGGATGCACTTTGCTCTGTGATAACAAATACATACAATACACATATGTAATGAAAGTGTACAGACCTACATGGAAAGAGAAGCACTAAAAGGCAAGCGGTTCAGGACAGAGCAGACCGGTGAGCCCTGGGCCAGCATCACAGCGGGCTTCAACCTGCAGTGTCAGTGCTTAGGTTGGACAATAGATATATGAGCACCCTACGTTAAGCTTTATACTTTTTGTCTGCACTACTGGATAATTTTAAGCCACAGTGCAAACAGTGTGATCAGTACTATGCTAGAAGATGCTCAGGCAGCGTTTGGCAGAAGTAGCTGAACTAGCCTGGCCTTCCAGGAGCGCTGGCATTCACCCTGACTCCTGAGGGATGTGAACTAGGAGAGGGAGGAAGATTGTGATTCATCCAAAACTCAAACTACAATGACTGCCTGATGCTGAAAGTCAAGAATATGACTGACCTGAACAAGGGGCTGTGATTGGCCCTTCTGCAGCATGCTAGGAACTGTCTTTAACTCCAGTTCCAGGGGAATCCAAAGCCCTCTTCTGACCTCCACAGGCATTGCAGGACACGGGTGCACTCACATACATGCAGGTAATACACTCATACAAATAAAATAATAAAATATTAAAAAAATATAGTAGGCATACAGAATTATGATTTACATTCTAAAATACAATTACAGATTTTTAGTTTGAGAATTATGTTGGTTTAGTTATTACAGTAATCTTTTAACTTCCCAGGCTGTAATTTTTATTTCTATAAGTTCAGTTAGGTGATTCACGTTTTCTGTAGGGCACAGGTGAACGTGCACTGGGGCTGTAGAAGAGTAATAGAAAAATGATGGAAAACGTTTTGGTGTCTGAGAATGGGAACGGTCCAACATCAAGGTCTGGATGTCTAGGGCCATGTGTGACATCAAGACCATAACTGGCCCTGGGGAGGAGGGAAGTTCATTCTAGAGAACAGATCTGCCCAAGACTAGAATCTGCAAATGACAGAGGCCTTCCCTGCCCACACAGCATGAGTCCAAAACAGAGGCAAAGTCACTGCCATGCACAACCCGGGACCTCTGAGGAGGGTGCTGTGGGGAACGCAGCCACCCAGAAAAGCTGAAACTGCTGCCAACATCAGAAAGTCCTCCATCCTCCAATCTGCTCCACCATCAGCTGCCACCAGAGCAATGTGGAACCCTGGCTCATGGTTGGAGACCAAAACTCCAAGCTCATGGGAGGGGACAACAGCTCCAGGTTGACAAGAAGTAGCCTTCTTCTGACCTCTGAGGGCATTGCATGACATGTGTGCACTTACACATATGAAAGCAATACACTCATTCACATAAAAATTTTAAAAATAATTTTTTTTAAAAAAAAGCTCCAGGTGTGGTAATGCACGCCTTTAATCCCAGCACTCAGGAGGCAGAGGCAGGCAGATCTCTGTGAGTTCAAGGCCTGCCTGGTCTACATAATGAGTTCCAGGACAGCTGGGGCCACAGGGAGACCCTGTTTCAAAAAGACCAAAAAAAAAAGAGCATTTTGGCTTCTGTGCAGCAAACAGTTGCTACCTGAATGTTTCACTAGGGGACATCAATATTGGAGAAAACCACTTTTGGCTTTTGCTCAAAGAAACAGATATTTTGTGTGTTTGTGTTATTGTTGTTTATTTTTTGTTTTGTTTTTTGATGGTTAAGGTTCTGGTTGTTTTTTGGTTTTGGTTTTGGTTTTCGTTTTTTGGTGTATGTGCTTTTCACATCTTCCTCTTTGGCCAAGGGGAGTCAGTGATGTGACATCTTCCTGGGGTCTGGTTTTGTTTGGTGAGAGGTGCCGCCACTGTCATCCTGGCTCTCTAGCCATTTTCTTACTTGCCACGTCCTTTCTCTCCTGCACCCAGCAATAGGCCCTCATGCTCCTTGGAGGTTGTTCACCTGTTTTTGATGTGATAATACATTGCAAGAGCTACACATTTCATGGTGTAGGTGAGGTTCAGCTGACTGTGCTATTGTCTAGGAAGATGATGGAGCAAGAGCTGTACTTTCTCAGTGTTGGGCCTGGAGGATGATGGTTAATGAAGAGACTCTTCAGTTTTTCTCTCACATCAGTCTGTGTTTTGCTGAGGAATATTATGCTGGCCCAAGGATGGTCTGAAGGATTGAATTCCATGTTAAAATCGGGGATTTTCTCACAGTAGTTGATGTGCTGCAGGTTGCCACCGGTGTCCTTTGTCAGGTCCAGGTCTGCCTTTAGGACTCCAGCCACAAGTGCACATTCCTCCAGAGCTTAGGCCTGGCCCACATGCAGCACAAGGTGGTGTTCCCTATCAACCACCACCTTGTGGTAGCAGCTCTCCCTGGGCAGGCGGCCCCAGGCCTATATGCCCCAGCCCCCCCGGAGCATCCCAGGAGGAGGCAGGGCCTGGCCTTGGATGGTGAGAGACCGGTGGGGGCGACCACAGCTGCTGGACCAGCCGACTGCAGCGGAAGAGCTCCTAAATCCATGAGACTGTGGCACCAACCCCATGCCACACTGAGGTCACCAGGTACCCCTAGCTGTGGCTTCTGCAAGCCCTGTTGATAAATTTTTAAATGGAGGGGCTGGAGAGATGGCTCAGCAGTTAAGAACACTGGTTGTTCTTGCAGAAGACCCTGGTTTGAATCCCAGCACCCACATGACAGCTAACTGTAACTCCAGTCCCAGGGGATCTGACAGCCTCTTCTGACCTCTGTGGGCATTGCACGACATGGGTACACTTACCTACATGCAGGCAATGTACTCATACACATAAAATAAAAAGAATAAATAAATTTTTTTTTAAATTTTAAAATGGAGAATAACTTGTAGGGACGTAAGACTCAAGAACCATCTCACAATCTTAAGTTCAGTCAAATAATTTTTCTCAAAGAAAAGAGGCCACTGTGGATGTCAGCAGTTTCCTCTTTCTCTGCCTCCTGGCCCATGTCAGATCCCAGGAGTGGGGCAACCATGGTGTCCGCTACTGCTAACTTTTCTATTACTGCCCCTTAGCACTGCATGAACCACAGAGGTCAGGGAGAGAATGCCCTCTTCTCTCTCAGGGGATGGCACATTCAGTTTGGTCACAGTCCTCCATACCCCCAGGACCCAGAGGTCTGTGTACTGTACATGGGCTGTTCACTCTACATGGAACCCTTCTCCACATAGACAACTCAAAGCTCCCTCCATCACGTCATTCAAGTCACAACTATTTGTTTCAGGAGACTTTCCCCAATAAATATATCTAAAATGTATTAACACTCTGTGGATAGCCTATTTCTCCATCTTCATTACACTAAACTCCATCTGATTCCATAACAGATATTTCTCTTCTCTTACACAACAATGTAAACTCCACCAAGACAAGGAGTTTGTCTTCAGAGGAAATGCCTTCTCTATTAGACTCTTGCAGAGTAACATACATCTCCAGAATCTCCTGGTTTATCCCAACTGTTTGTTTCTTGCCTATGCTCATGTCCAAGTTTTTCCCAGCACGAGGGTTTCTACTATTACTGCAGGAAAGGTGAGAAAATGGAGGAAATCCAGAAAGCTGACACTAGCTCTTCAACTTTTTGCTCAGAAGAGATACCTTTGGCTTCCATTCCCGTTAAACTAGCCAAAGAAAGCCTTGTGGTGCATGTGACCAACAAATGCCAAAACCAAAACGTAACATATATTCACCTCAGAAAACTAGGAATAGAGGGAACTTCCTTAATATCTTAAAGAGTATCTATGAAAAAACAGCTAACATGAAAGAATGATTTCCCCCAGGATGAGGAGCAAGACGGAGGTATTCACTGTCAATACTGTAATCCGTATTGCACTGGAAGTCCTGGGGAGAGCAATAGGGCAAAAAATAAACGAAATATTTTTAAAACATAAACTGGCTCTATTTAAAAGGAGCATAGTGTATATATGGAAAATGTTAAAAACATTTATTTAGGGGACTGGAGAGATGGCTCAGAGACTAAAAGCACATACTTCCCTAACAGAAGACCCAAGTTTGTTTGCCAGCACCCATGTTGGGCTGTTTACAACTACCTGCAACTCCAGCTTCAAGAGGATCTGACATCTCTGGCCTCCTGTAGTCCATACAGTGTATGCACTCGTACACACACACACACACACACACACACACACACACACACACTTAAAAACCACAGCAACAAAAAAATTTATCAAGGCCGGAGAGATGGCTCAGTGGTTAAGAGCACTTGCTGTTCTTCCAGAGGACCTGGGTTCAGTGCTCAGCACCTACACAGTGCCAAAAAATGTCTGTAATTCCAGTTTCAGGGGATTCACTGCCCTTTTCTGGCCTCTGTGAGCACTGAATGCACATGGTAAAAATGATAAAATATTTGTTAAAAGCATTCACTTTATTTTGTGACTGTACTTGACAGCCCATACGTGGAAAACTTTAAGGAATCTACACACAGAGAGTGTGATGGTTAGTGTTGGTTTTTGACTTAATAGGCTCTGAAATCACCTAGAAGTATCCAGGTACACTTGTGACAGA